TGTGTGTGTGTGTGTGCTTAAAGGACCTGCAGCAGTGTGTGTGTGTGCTCAAAGGACCTGCAGCAGTGTGTGTGTGTGCTCAAAGGACCTGCAGCAGTGTGTGTGTGCTTAAAGGACCTGCAGCAGTGTGTGTGTGTGTGCTTAAAGGACCTGGTGTTCTGTGCGTGTGTGTTTCATAAATGAGGAGCAGCTCTCAAACCAGTCCACCCTGTTCAGACCGGCTCCCCTGGGCTCAAACAGGAAGTATTCACAGGATTTCCTCTCCCTCTCGAGCTGAAACAGGACACCTCTGCAGGACCTGCAGACAAAGTCCTAACTTGTTTCCCAACCGTCGCTGTCTGCTGCTTTGCAGATAACAGAAACATCACCTTTAGGTGGTTGTTGTTTTTTAACAAAGCTTCCTGTTACCTTAAAATCCTGCGACGACAGAAATGTGTCTGAAGTTCTGGAGCTGCGTCTTCTAATACATGAATTATTAGAAAAGTAGCTCTTCATCTTTTTTTTTTACCTTTAAATCTTAAAAAACAGGCGAGCTGTTTGTGAGAGGGAGGGTTTTTACAGCAGCGCACGTTTTACCAGCACGGCCTCACAACTTCCTCCTCTGCTTCAAAGCACTTCCAGTAAACAATGAACCCTTGAACGCACCGTCTGTTCCCGTCTGCTATGCTTTTGTTAGTTTCTCTCTCTTCTGCTCTGCATCACGTGCACGCACACCTGCGTGAGCTTCTTACCTGGAAGAGGGAGCCGTGGCCCTGCAGCCGGGCGGGGCTGATCGGGGCGACGGGGCTCAGGCTGCTCCAGAAGTGGATGCCCGACAGCAGCGGACTGTGAGCCAGCAGCAAACCAGAGGGAGTCTGTGAGGGAGGAGACGTCGGGGTTAAAGTCAGTGAAAATGTTTCTGTTTAAATAAATAAATGGTCTGAGGAGCGCTGCTTGCAGCAGTGTTTGGTAATGCACAACATGCTGAAATAGTAAATAATGTGTATTAGAGTTTGGAAAAACAAACTGAAGGAGCAGGAAGGAAGTCTGTGGTTTCTCCTGCAGAATACAGGGGCGATGAGAGGAGGAGGGCTGGGGGGGGGGGGAGCATAAGTGGGCATTGATCCTCACGCATTTGAAATGCAAGCTAGAGAGAAAACATATGAAATCAATTTCTTGGTCTCTCCCCCTCCCCCTTTACTTTCCCCCGTGTCACCTCGGTGCAACGAGGCAGAGCTGCTGTGGAGGGACCTGGCCCCGCTCCCATTATTAATGGAGTTATTGAAGCATATGGCATCACTTAAGAGACCCCCCCTCCCCCCTTACAGAAGATTCCTATAAGCTGCTTGTTTTCCTCTGATGTGAGTTTGTGTGCTCATAAAAAGCCGAGTGAATCAGAGCTGTTAACGCCTTTCACGACGTGTGTGTGTGACCCACACTGGGTGTGGCGGTCGTTTCTTTGTAACGACTCCAAAACGCTCGGGATTAATTAAAGAAGCAGCCTTCCGCCAACAGATGCACATCACCCGCCAACAGATGCATGTCACCCGCCAACAGATGCACGTCACCCGCCAACAGATGCATGTCACCCGCCAACAGATGCACATCACCCGCCAACAGATGCACGTCACCCGCCACGTGTCTATTGGAGAGCACTAAACATGAAGGACTGAGCTGTTTTAGTCAAACCTGCAAAATAACGTGATGCGACCTCGTTCTGGCAACATGTCAGAGTGAGGGTTGGGAATGACTCTCAGCTACTACCACATCAAATTTTACACAGTGTCTGTTTGAAAGAGCTGTAGCCATTTTTGAGTTACTATGGATGACCTGTGGCGGCCATCTTGAATTGTGCCAACTCCAAAAATTTCATAAAATTCATTCAGTAGTTCATTTATCCCCCAACAGACAAATCAAAACAGACGCAGGCAGAGATGCACGATATTAGCGACAAAGTTACATATCGGACATTCCATCGGCATCTGCATTTGGTAGCAGGTCAAACAGACAAAGATCATGCAGAATAATGTAGTATTTTAATTCCACAGCAGAGAATACTATGTAGTCTCTGTAAGTAGGTCTAGGGGAAAAAATATTGGTATCGTTATCTGCCAAATAAGTTTTAACATATCGGCATATTGATATCGACCAAAAATCCAATATCGTGCATCCCTAGATGCAGGCAATCATCACTTATTGAGAGCAAAAGTCTATTAAGTCCTAATAAAACTTGAAGATGTATAAACATGATTATGAGATAAGGATGGTTTAACGTTTTTAAACCTGCTCTGAGTTTTGAGTCACTACGTTCATTAAAGTGCACTTGTTTCAGTTTCTGATGGAAGTGCTTGTGGCTTCTTCCTGGGAGCTTGGAGGGTGACAGAACCTCTACCTGCAGCCGACCGGCCACTCAGATGGGACTGAATTATTGTCTTTCTGAGATATGGTTCTTCTCAGGACTGGTGACTTTGTTGTGGCTGACGGAGCGACACACTCAGTTTGTCTTCAGCTACTGATGTCAGCCAAGGTGTGGAAACATGTTGTGACGAGTCAGAGCTGAAGTCAGTTTCACAGCAGGGTTCAACACATAAAATACTAAATAACTCAACATTTGTAGACTGCAAAAACAAAGGCTTCGAAATCTTCAAAGGAATGCATATCGCCCGCTGTGAGCTGGCACGCTCAGAGTACGAGTCGTGAACCACTCTCAGCTACTACCACATCACATTTGAGCTCAACGCCTGTAAACCTGTTGGCTAATGTGGATTAGCTGCAGTGAGCTTACCGATTCACCTGTGAGTGGTCTTAATGTTGTGGCTGATTGTGTAACTGTAATGTCAGCATGGAAAGCACCTTCAGGAACTGCACGAGTGAGTCAACAGTTCCTGAAGCTCTTCACCATGTGACTCATGTCTAGCAATAAGGAAATGCCGTCATGTTTTTATTTCTTCGTGTGCGAGCTTCCTGAAGGGAGCGGTGACAGATGCTGGGACTCAGGTAAGCGTCTCACCTGTGTGGTGAAGAAGGCGGGGGTCAGGGAGCCGGAGGGCAGCGCCGGGCTGTTGAGGGCGATGGAGCCGATGTCGCTCCCCGAAAGCAGCAGGGACGGGGAGATCTCCAGAGCTTTGGGCTTTTTGCTCTTAGGTGGGAGTCCGTCTCCTTGGTTACCGCTACTGTTAGTGCTCCTCTTCTCGGGGGGCTGCAGGGCTCGCTCCCTGTGGCCCGAGGAAAGGTTGAGAGGCTGAGCGCTCTGGTCAGAGTCCACCCCGTCCTCATCCCCTTCCTCCGCAGGGCTCCAGCTTCGGCCAGGCTGGGTGTTTGGGGAGGACGGGGACTGGGAAAGAGAGGGGGGGTTTGCTGGCCTGGAGGAGACGTAGGATTCAGATTTGGCAGAGGGAGGCGGGCTCCTCTCGATGGCGTTGGTGCCGAAGCGGATGACGGAGCGCGGCTCCTCCTGACGCTCTCGCAGGGCGCGCAGCAGCTCCGGCTGGTTCTGGAAGGAGTTGATGCTGAAGGACGAGTAGAGGCTCGAGTGCAGGTAATCCCTTCGACACTGCTGCACCCCCAAGGCTGCCAGGCTCCTCCTCTCTGCCTCCTCTTCACTCTCCTCCTCCTCCTCCTCTTCTATGTCCAGCTCATGAGCCTCTCCTTCTTGGGGGGGAAACCTTCCAGAGGACAGGCCCATCTCCACCGCCTGCGGGTCCATTTTAAGGATCTCGGGGAAGGACACGAACTTATAGACAAACTTCTGGCCAATCACCTTTTTGATGATATTCTACAAAACAAACAAACAAAAGATGAACAAACTTAAACTGCCCCAAACCCCAACATAACTTTGTAATAATCTGAATCAAATAAAGCTGCTCAGGACCTAAAGATACGTTAAAGCTACTGTCAGCGTCTCTTCAGGGTCACCATGGTAACCATACGCCCGTGTCTCTTACTCCCTGACTGCTAAGTTAATGAGAGGCAGACAAAAACAGACTGAAAAGTAAGCCTCGAGAAGCCGCTGTGCAAAGACAACTCCAGTCTTACAAATTGTTAAACCCTGAACGACTTAAAGGATCGCACATGTAGGAGTTCATGTTTCTGCACAGTTCAATGCAGGTATGACGAGTTCAGACGATTAACTTCCAGTTTTGAGTAGAATAATTTGATGTAAAATATAATCAAAGTCTGCAGAAGCTTGTCTGTTCGCTCTCTGTGTTCTGAATTTAAGACGTAAAGTTATTTCAGTGAGAGACAAAAGACAAAAATCCACAAGTATTGACAGATACTGTGATATGAAAGTAGTTCTGGGAATGAAGAGTTTGTTTGCAAAGGTTTGAACTCTGCATGGAAACCTTGAAACGTAACTGTGTAAACACCTTAAACCATATTAAAACGTCAGTCCAGACCAGTACAGTCCAACTCTGTGACCCGTTTAAACTCTGGTGGGTCTGAGCTGCAGAGCCTCTGTTGTGTTTCAAGCAGCTTTTTGTGTCTTGATACATCAAAAGTGCACGGCTGCAGGTCAGCACTTCAGCGCACCGACAGGAAACCGCCACGCTGAAATTAATTTCTTAGAAAAAATGTTTTAAAGTCGGAACTCTAAGACGAGGAAGAAGAAGTGAAAGTGTGCAACGGGAGTGGGCGAGTTCACAAAGAGAAGTTTGGCTTTAGTCACGAGGCCTCACCTTGTCGTAGTAGTAGCGCAGGGCCCTGCTCAGCTTGTCGTAGTTCATGTTGGTCTTGTTCTTGCGCAGCCCCCACAGCTTGGCCACCTCCTCCGACTTCAGGAGCTTGAACTCTCCGTCCGTGGACGTCCAGCAGATCAGGTGCTTGTGGCTCTGGTCGAGCAGCAGCTGCAGCAGGAACTGCCACAGAGTGATGGCGCTGTCCATACCTGAAGCACAACGTGCAGGCGTGGGAACAAACACATCAAGTTTGACGTCAACGTGGTCGTTTTGAATAATTTTTCCTGAGAACCTGCTTTTTTTTTTTTTTTTTAGACGTCGGCTGACTCTAACGCAACAAAACTTCTTCGGTGTGTAATAACGTAACTGTGGAAACAAATACTTGTTTATACAAGTTTATTCTTCCCGACTTGTTGCGCTGCATGCAGGCTGAATGATGTCCTCTGCCCGAGGGCTACGGCCTGTTTGAATAGCAACGTGCGCCGTGAGGAGGAGTGCGCCCGTTCTGAACAGAACAGTGTGTGTGAAAGGAGCATAGTGTAATGTAGCGACAGCAGCAGGAGAGAGAAAATAAAATATGAGGAGGAACAACAGCTCAAGCCAGAAATATGCTGTGGTTCAACCTGGCCCTCTCTCCACAGGAAGTTCGGCGGGCCCAGGGTCGGTCAGTCTTTTAATAGAGGAATGTGCAGCCTCCAAGCCCTGTCTGCCTACCAGGAGACCTGGGGTTGGTGTCCCCCGACAGCTAGACACCAACACCACATGGACCCAGTACGAAGCGTCCCGTCTTCTTTCAGTAGGCCTCAGACAGACTCGCATGAATACTGTACTCGGTTTTGATTGGTAAATATTTTTCCATAGGAAGATTTGATTTGCTTCATTTTCTCTGAGTAAATATGTTCAGGGTTTGGACTCTTCCAACTTGATTTCAAACTTTTCTACGAGTAACTTCAAACACAAATGAAGGTTATCCTGAACTACATCAAACACATGGTGCACAGTTTGAAAGTGTTTGTTTCGGTAGTTTTCCGGATATTTTCATGTGCAATTCTGAAATGAAAGTACACGCTCAATGAAAGTACGCGCTCAGTGGAAGCAAAGCACTCGTCTAATTCCACCACAGGGAGTCGAGCCGCAGGACTGACCTACGTCAGGCCGGCTGTAGGCTGCGCACGGCAGGTAAGTTCACTACGGTGCACCAAGTGCTGTTTTCTGGACGATCACGATTTCTGAAAAGCCTGACCTGCCGATTCCGATTTTGTTTTATAAGCAACACTGTCGGGTTAAGGTCACAAAGCACCTTCAAGTTTCCAATATTATTTTATGGCAAAATATATTGTTGAATACAAACTTGTTTTAACTGGCCATGAGGTCGTGCTCTGAAATATAAATGAAGTTCAGACAATTGTTAAAACAAAAAAACAAAAAATGGTAAAATCGGTTTCTCGTGCAAATATCGGCTGATTTCCTACAATAAATGAAATCGACCGACCGATTTATTGGTGCGCCCCTAAAGTTAACCTTTGACCTGTTTTTTAATAACTTCTGCTGCTGCCGTCAGTAAACAAACATGTGGTGGCTTTGGTCACACATTTTCCTTGTAGAATTTTATTTTCCAGACTCATCCATCTATTATCTTTACCCGCTTCTTCCTTTCTGGGTCACTGGTGCCCACGTCCAGCCATCACTGTGTGAGAGGCAGGGGGGACTGGTCTCCAGTCCATCACTGGGACACACAGAGACAAACAACCATTCACTCTCTCTCTCACACCTAGAGACAATTTAGAGTTACCAATCAGTGTAACATGCATGTTTTTGGTCTGTGGGAGGAAACTGGAGTACCAGGAGAAAACCCACGCATGCACGGAGAGAACATGCAAACTCCACCCAGAAAGGTCCCGGGCCGGGATTCGATCAGACAACCTTCTTGCTGAGAGGCAACTGCTCTACCAACTGAGCCACCGTGCAGCCATTAAACAATGAATGAAAAAAGCTGTGCAGACTTCGTTTCTTTGTGAATTTTCTTTTGTCTTCATGACTTTTGCAAACCGTAACTTTAAATATGTCACTTTCAGCTCTTGGAAACTCCTTCCACAGGAAATCAACACGTTAAACTCTCAGCCACAACACAGCCAGGGCTGCTACACATTTGCAATTAGAAATTTTGAGTGCGACAAGTCTAGAGATTTATAAGATTTCTGTGGACGTTAGGATTTTTTACACGTTTTATTGTTGCAAAAAGGCTGTGAATGCTCGTACGACGATGCTTTTATTATTGTAAATTTAAAGTTAAAAAGAAGAAACTGTCCATGTTGTCTATGTGATCCAAAGGTTCTCAATTATAAACTAAAAAACAAAAGCCTTGATGGTCTCAAGTTGTGACAAATGAGTCAAACGTGAACATCGTTATGTCAATGTTTATCTTTTATTTACAAAAAATGAAAAAAAAAATCCCCTACTTGTCTGAGCATCGTTTAAATTTTTTTTATAAATCTTAGGGGTACAAATGATGAAAATACGTTTTCCATACGTTTTCTTTTTGGTACAAAAACCAAATGCTATTCCTTAAACTGAAATGGGAAGCGGACTTGGAGGAACTCCTATCAAACCCAATCTGGAAAAGGAACATCAAGAACATTTACTCATCTTCAGTCTGTCTGAGACACGCTGTAATTCAGTTCAAGGTAGTGCACCAGCGGCACTGGTCTAAACACAAGCTGTCCAAGATCAAAGCCAACCTGGACCCTGCATGCAATCGTTGCAAACAAACTCCAGATACACTCCTCCATACATTCAGGACCTGTCCCAAACTGCAGACTTTTAGGTAATCTATGACACCTTCTCTGGAATATGTGGTAAGACCGTACTTCCATCACCACTCATCTCACTGGTCGGGGTGGTCCTGGTGGATACATCCTTCAGCAAATGCGAAAGGGATGCGATTGCCTTTGGCTCTCTTTTGGCCAGGAGGCAAATTTTGTGCAACTGGAAGGACCCCCCCCCCGGTATGAATCCATTGGATAAAGGAGGTGATGTATCATATCCATTTAGAAAAAATAAGATATACCCTGAAGGGGTCTGTCAAACATTTTGGGACACTTGGCAGCTTTTTGTATTGTATGTAGAATGTATGTCAATGCCAGTTTAATTTGTTTGTGTATGTTTGACTGATCCGGTGTGGGAGGGAAGGGGTGGGGGCAGGGGTTCTGTTTCTGTGCTTTAAGTTGTTGTTGTCATTGTGTGTGTTTTTTTGTTTGTTTGTTTTTGTGTGGGGGGGGGGAGAAACAATAAAAACACTTTGTTTAAAACAAAAAAACAAAACAAACACTATACTTTCCCATCTTTTTCACAACTTCCTGCTTCTGCCTTCATATTTCCATGATAACAGCTCGTTGTGTCATTTTGAGCTGAAAGATAACGTGTGACACTCGTGTTGTTGTCGTGTTGCCTGTGATCTTCTCCGTCTTATCTGAGGAGCAACGATAACGGAGCAGCTTTTCAGCCATCTCGTATCTCCATCCGGAGAGAGGGCTGAGCTGATTTCCGACTTGAGCCATCCCCTGAGCCGTCTCTGCTGTGTGAAACCACAAACCTGTCAGAGTCAGGACTTCCTCCTATTCTACTTCCAAGGACAAATGATGAGGAAGAGAGAGGGTGGGGGGGATCCCACAGCAGGGGAGTGTTTCCCCATCCAGTCACACTTCCTCCCCCCAAAAAAATCCCAAAAGGTGAAAAAGGTCAAAAGATCACATCATTGTCCACCCAGCCCACAGCTCCACCTCCACCCTGTGACCTGCTCTGAACCCAGACTTCAGTCTGGCTTTTGAACGAAGCAAAAGGTACAGCTTAACATCAGGAGGCCACATGAGCCGAGGAGGTCCGCAGTGAGGACAGAGGAAGTCTGGAAGATGCTGCAAGTGTCCTCCTGCAGAATAAACTAAACCTGACAAACCTGAAGCTCCTGCTCTCTGCAGGAACATCATGAGGCCGTGGTGCGTTCGGGTTCTGCTGCTGATGCTCGGAGAAGTGTCGCAGTGAGCACAAAGACGTCCACTGTTGGCTGGACGGAAACTCCTAATGATATTAGATGGTGTGTGTAGACCTTACACAGCCACGACCAAATCTCTTCTCTTCCTGTTCACAAATTCCGCGGAAAAAAAGTCAACTACAAGCTCTTTTAAAAGAAAAACATAGGCGGATTTAATGTTTTAAAAATAATTCTGCCTTCAGAACGGAGTCACTTTTTGCTTGTAAAGTTACAGGAAATGTTTGCGCACAGACGTATGCCCCACTGACTCATTTTCAAGATGTTGCACGAACCGGAAGACGACTCAAATCTGAACTAATCTTCATCAAAACCCAGAAACAGACTCTTTTTCGAGGAGGAAACACGAAGCAACCCGCTCGCAGACACTTACAAAGGCGGTAATAACGAGCAATAAAACTCATACTGTCGCTTCTTGTTAACATTTAGCTACAAAACTAGCAACCAACAAACAAAGCGCCTTTTGTGGTGGGGAAACTGCTTATTTTGTAGTTTACCTGCGATCTGTAAGTCGGTGTCTTCAGTCCGTGAAAGTTTACGGCGAAGCCTGTGAGATTCCTCGTTTTTCCATGCTTCCTTCAGGTCCGCACCGTGTGCCGGACTGAAATCGGATCCTGGGCTTTTTCTCTTTCTGAGCAGGAAGTTGGAGCGGGCAGACGCAGAGCCGGCTCACTTCCTCTCCCCGACGATTCCCCAGGCAGTTAGCCGTCTGTGTAAACACACTTTTCCTCCCCTCCTCTCCTCTGCCCGCCCGCTGACGGCCAGCAGTGGGCCTGCTCTCATGTTGACACAGAAACTCCCGACAGCCCGTAAACTGACGTCATCCGTACCGCGAGACCTCCGTGGTACGTTCAGGTACGGCTCGTTTACCCAGATCCTCCATGATAAACTAGAAACTTCCACACGATTTGCGTTAATTTATTATTTGGACGAATTGTTTTGCTTTATGCACCATTTATACTTTAAAAAATATTTAACGCAATTTAAAATGAAGAAAAAATATAGAAACACACTGACATCATTCTAATATATACAAACCGGATTCCAAGAAAGTTGGGACACTAAACAAATTGTGAACTGAATGCAATGATGTGGAGATGGCAAATGGCAATATTTTATTTGTAATATAACATAGATGACGGATCAAAAGTTTAATCTGAGTAAATGTAACATTTTAAAGGAAAAATATGTTGATTCAAAATTTCACATTGTCAACAAATCCCCAAAAAGTTGGGACAAGTAGCAATAAGTGGCTGGAAAAAGGAAATTGAGCATATAA